TTTGCAACAACAGAATTTTCGCCTATATACCCCTTGCACAGCGGTTCCGTCATGGTAATTTCGTAGAACCCCTGATCTCATCACTTCTAAGAGGCCTTGTATTCCACAAATTCTGCAGAATTTTTCGTTTTCTTCGCCACACATGCACTGATTTTCACCAACAGTTTCGCTTTTCAACTTAAAAAAGGTCCTCAAAATGTTTTTAACTGTGCCTCCAAGGCCTAATCTACCAGTCGGCCGTGTTCAGGCCTATTTAACAAGGAAGTTGAACATTGCGAAGTTGTCAGGAAACAGATAGAAACAAACGCTCACAAAGGGGCGCAATAAAATAGATTCCTAAAATGGCTAACGGTGCATTAGAAAAGCCTTTCACATTTTTAAGTCGGAAATAGCGCTCGTTTTAATCGTTCTCCCACCAGGTCGTGGTCATGCTGTCGTGATTCGTTTTTTCGTACAATAATTTTGACTACTCATCATGAACAGTAACAGTTGTGGCCTCTCTAGAATTTGAAAAGTAGGCCGCATTTTCGCACTCGTAAGGTATTTGTTTAGTTTAGGATGAGAGCGCTAACTGTCCTGATCGCTTTTGCAGCTAGCATTTGGTGAGTTCGATAATCATTATTATTTTTCCGTTCGATTAGTTGAAGGTAGAATTGTTGACTAAAGCTGTTGTGTACGAATTCATTTCAACTAGATCACGCACAGACCACACAAACTTTCCTTGTTTTTATGGTAGAAAACGTGATCAAATCTCAACTACCCTACAGTCTTCTCAGCATTTGCAGTGCATTGGAATAAAGGTGTATGAAGGCTTTCGATGAATTTGCGCCTGCAATCGTCGCACCATCGCCTTAACGACCGACCGAAGGGGATCCTATTGGAGATGGAAGAAGCTTCCGCTTTGACGTCATCGCTGTTCAGGAGTCGAAAACAAAGGAAGCAGCTACGAGGAAGAGCAACAACGGCTGCCTACTCTGTCAAAATTTTCTGGACGAAACGAAATTTTGTGGAAGAGGCTTGGTGACTTCGTACGCCTGGTCCATTATCGTGTGTAACACCTGGTCGGCTCAACCGAGGTATGCGGCCTATAGCTAGCCACTCTCCGCCTACGCATCGAAAAGCGCACCCCTGTCAGCATTATTTACTGTCATGCACCAAAGTCAACAGCAGCCGGAGGAGAAAGGGACTTCTTGCATAAGGAGATGGAGGAGATACGAAGAACGTCTATACTACAGCTTAGAGTCTTCAACGTTACAAAGGAGGAAAAACCGGCGACATTTCGCATTGGACCACATGGAATCGAGAAACCTCCGAAAATGGTAAAGGTTTTTTGGAACCTTTGAAGCACTGCACCCTCATCCACTGAAACAGCTTCTCTATGGAACTTGAGGGCAGGCGATAGGTGGGAGAGCCCCATTGGAGAATCTCACAACAAAATCGACCACTTTCTCACGAACTCAAAAAGGAGTTTACTCGTTGTCGATGCCTGCAGATGCCTTCCTCACCTGAAGCGATCCTAGACTGGTCGGTACCAAGATCTGTAGCGGAATTTCAAAAACGGAACAGCCGTCCTTCTTCCAGCCGCCAAACGACACAAGCGCCATGAAATTGGCCGCTGGTCACCAATAGGCAGGAGGCACAGGGTTTGTAACAAGACTGCGATTTGCAAATTGAAACACTTCTACACTGCACAACGACGTCGGTCGCTTCAACAGGAATGAACTGGACACTCTTCGTTCACTCATTATTACTCAAGGGAACGAGATCGATGACCATGCTTGCACCCTCCCCCAACGACGGGCTGCCGTTAACCGTAAATATGTATCAACATCACTGGAACGTGCTTAAATCAACAAAGTGTAGTGTATCATCGCTGTCAATAGCTGTCAAGGAGTGTATCAATTGATAACGAGCATCGAGGTATCCAAGAAGGAAGTATTTTCTTCGAAATTGATCTGAAACATCCAAATCATCATCGTTACATTTTGAAGCCATCCTCCACTTATTGTTACTCTATCGAACTATCACAACTCATCGTAATGTATCAGTGCAGTATAAAGTGCTTTTCGAAATTTCGAAAAATTTTGTAATCAATATACATCCATATTTTGTATTCAGCATACAACCACAAAAATGAAAAAGCGCGTTGATATTCCATCTACGATGGGGTCATTCAGTTGGATTATCAGAATAAGATAATTCACTGTAAAATTGAACGCTAAAACGCTTTGAAAACATCCAGCTCAATGTATTTCATTTGTGTAGAATTATTAGTGGTTGAACATGACAACGTCCACCTCAATGCAGACCCCACTATCGAAGAGCGATCGACCTCTTTTAGCTGCTCCAAACCATTTTCTCCGCGTTCTAGTAGAACGTTTCGATCATCGTTATGAGTTTCCGATTCTAGCCCCACCCCTGTCGGTCGAGATCCCGGATGACCCATCAAAAGGAAGTCAACGGGCACGGCTTATCGGAGTTATCGCGCTGGAAGAATGTTTTGCAGATATTCATTGCCATTCCTATCGTATGTATAAACTTCGCTTCAATTCCGACCTCAACATACCCATGTGTCAGGACAAAAAATGTAGAAAGCCGCAAACCCACGCAACCCTTCATCGTTTTCTCTGACCAAAAAATTTTTTACGATAAAATCATCCCTCAACAAAGAAACCGTTCCGGAAAGAAACATCTAGCGTGCAATCTTTCATAAAAAGTTTGGTGTAAGAACAGTAAAATGTTTTTTGAAGAAGTCACTGGGAGGGGTAAGACGCTTGTGGTTTCTCCGTTGCCGGCGTGAAAATTGATCAAGACCAGTGCTCAATGAGCGTAGTGTTGGACGTAATGAAGAACTGATCCGACTAATTCTTGAAAAATCTCGTAGTCCTTCTAGCAGGACGCTACTCCAGCAAACAGAACGAAGCTCGCCCGCGAGTGGTGCCGAGAACAGCTGCAAGACTTCATCGGTAAAAAGTAGTGGTCATCCTATTTTCCAGAACTTGACTCACTTGACTCTGCCGTATGATTCATGATTAGAAGAGGACCTGTCGAGTTCGCAATCTCAGTTTGGAGTCCTAAAAAGCAAGACTGAACAAGACAGGTCGAGAGCAATTTTTGGGCCTCCATCCGCGCTAATGGGGGTATTTTGAAATGTGATTGTACCGAGTTGTAGCAAATGGTGTTAGCTAGCGTGCATAGAAATTCCACTCCTTTCGCAGCTGAGAAGCCTCAAACATATTGCTATGAATCGACGCCAATAATTTTGGGGCACCCTGTGAATAGATTACTGGAAGTGCCCTATAGCTCAGACGCTATGGAGAAGATTAGTGTAGATAATGAAAACCTGATATTTTCTTGCTTATCCTTGGTCACAGTTCAAAAAATAAATTAATTCAGTAGGGATGCTTTGTTGCATTGCCACCGCTATTCCTCAGACAGGTTCTGCCACAAGACTACTTCGAAAATCTGCTGCATAACTTAGAGTCTTTGGATAGGCCTAAAATTTCAAAGATTTCTTTGCCGAGGTTCTCTAACCGTTCGTTATTCAACGACTAATATTCCAGCGACAGTCAGCAAAAGGCTACTATGAACATTCGCGAGCCCTTGACGCTCACAATTTCGCCAAAAATTTGGAATCTGTTAGAGACAAAAGCCAACCTACTCAATGATGCGGTAAAATCCATCAAGTTTCCTGAGAGAGAAGAAAAGGTACTATTCACAATACTACGCTATGAAGCGCAATGAAGTAGTATGAATTGAC